TTTGTTTCTCTAATTATTCTAAAATAACCATATCACTGTATTCCCACAGAATAAGCACAGAGAAAGGTGCCTCCTTCCACAGACCAAGTCATTCTGTGATGCACCCATCTCTCCAAAAGGCAGCCTTGATCTGAATTTATTTTCACAATTACATACATAATATCTAAAGGAAACAAAGAACATGATAAAAATAAAGTTTGAAATAAACTTTAAACTGTGGGAATGCAGGGGACCCGGCTGAGAACAGAGAAGAACAGGGAGAGGGAGCTTAATATCTGTTTGATATTCTAAGCCCAGCAAGATGATCCATGCATTGGAGAGTTTATATGTACTGACTAGGAATTATGGATTCAGAGATGAGATAAACTGATTTTAGTCTAAAGTATTTAATGAGTTTCAAAGCATATAAAGCACAAAGAGAAAAATGGCTATTGGTTTGGTCATGCAAGTAATAATACATAACTTTTTTTAAAACTTGTTTTTATTGATTTCAAAGAGGAAGGAAGAGGGAGAGAGAAATATCAATGATGAGAAATGATCATTGATTGTTTGCCTCCTGTATGCCCCCTACCAGGGATCAAGCCCACAACCTGGGCATGTGCCCTGAATAGGAATTGAACCTGTGACTTCCTAGTTCATGGGATGATGGTCAACCACTGAGCCACACCAGCCAGGGCAACATATAAATTTTTAAATGCTTACAGCTTAAGGTTGTATTTTTTTCCATAATGTTACAATACTATTTTATTTATCAATATCAATATACTTTGAAATGCTACTCAACCATTAAAATTATGATGACAACTAAATAACACAAAAAGTGTTTATGATGTATTATTGTTCAGAGAAAATTCAGGATACACAATTGTATGGACATTTGACAAAAGCGGACTAAAATTTGTATACTTTTAGAGACTGGAATGGAAAATATTTTGCATGTTAGGGTGCTGAGATTGTGTAATGAGAGATTTCCTTGTCCAAAATTTTATATTATGTCTTATTAATAATAACAGCTAAAAAAAAATTCAAGTAGAAATTAATTTTCCCCAAAGGTCAAAAATAAACATAATCAAACTTTTGTTCTTGCTTTATTCTCACTTAGGTTTGCCAAACTAATGGGAACTTCTCTCCTAGATTATAATTGTAACATAAAAATGCTGAAAAAGAGACCTTCCCACAAGATACCTCTGGTGATTCCTCAGCTGCAATGTCAGGTCCTTGCAATACGGACAGGTTAATACATCAGCTACTGAAACAGTTATCTGGAAGCCACTCCCATCAGCCCACACCTAGAGAAGAGTGCTGCTGAAGCACATGTTGACAGACAGTTCTTGTTTGAAGTCATTAACGTGAATTTTCCTCTGCTCAGTACAAGTAACGTGTGTGTGAGGACTGGAGGGAGTCATGTCCTCCTGGTCCTGCATCCTGCCACCACGGCCCGGGCTGTTCCAGGGGCTGTGGGAACTAGGCGAGGCCCACAAGGCCAGGTTTTTTATTTTCTGAGATGCTATAGGGCTTATCAGCTATAAGACTTCAATGCTGTAAAACATTTAGTTTTAAAAGATTGACTTCAATACACTGGCACAATCACGTAATTCTAGAAATGAGATGATAAAGTCCTTAAGCCTTTGTGTCCCAGGAGAAAGTAGGGGATTCGCTGAGCATCCTGGGTTCTACAGAACAGCGTGCTGTTCTCAGGTTAGACCCGAGGAGGAGGGTTTTCCCACAAAGACAGAGGCTCTTCCACTCTATTTAAATTTATTTTAAAAACATTTTTATTGCTTCCAGAGAGGAAGGGAGAGGGAGAGAGAGAGGAACATCAATGATGAGAAAGAATCATTGATGGGCTGCCTCCTGCACAGCCCACATTGGGGATCGAGCCCGCAACACGGACCTGTGCCCTGACCAGGAATTGAACCCTGACCTCCTGGTTCATAGGTGGATGCTCAACCACTAAGCCACGCTGGCTGGGCAAGGCCCTTCCCCTCTACAGAGAGCGGTGTCTGGCCCTGCAGAGACTGAGCACCCAGGAGCTGCTTAGACTCATGGGCTCAATCCTGCTGTGGTTGGTAAGGGTCTGAAGTAAGAATTCAATGAAACAGTAGCATAGAGAACTCCATAAAAATTACATTTGGACACAGAAGGAAATCCATCTTGGACAGAAATCCTTTCTTCTGGGACTGCTGACTTTTGCCCCAGCACCAGGATCCCAGAGAACAGCGAATGTTGTGGTCCAATCAAGAGCTGCCTGCAGAGAACACCTTCCTGACTCGCTCAGGTAAGACTCCTAGAGGCCGTCCACCTGCCTGTCCACCTGCTGCAAGGCCAGCTGCGGACCCTCAAACTCCCACTCGCTGTCCTATGAATGATTAGCTGAACTCCTTTGTTTCCATTGACCTAAGGAACGAAACTCTCGTTAGCCAAGGTCTGGCTAAGCTTCTCTCCTCTCCAGGCCCCTGAACCTTGGCCCTCACTCACTCAAGCATTAGAATGAGGAGCACAGCCGCCCCCTCCCCTCCCCCCACTTCTCCAGCAAAGGCTGACCTTGGTCTAAACAGCATCTCACCCTGCATCTGGGCTCCTCCACTGCCCACAGGTTCTTCCCACTCTTTTGACTCCTGAGAAGGAGAGCCTGCCCTGCCCAGCTCGGGGCACTCGGGCTCATGGCCAGGGAAGCCCTATTGCTACCAGCCCCTCTTCATCTTGAGATCATCTCCTCAAAGTCAGCCCCAGCGTGGTGTTTGACTCCACGTGGTGGAGAATTGCACAAAGCCTTAAATACAATCAGCAACAAGCCATAGAGCAGGCTCTCTGCAACATGCCAACCAGCGCACCGGGGACCCTCTGCAGAGTACATCAGGAAGTAGGAAAATGAAAACAAAGAAAGCATCTTAAAATGTACAGGTGAGCCCCGGGAGTCTGACCTGCAGGGACAGGCACAGGAATGTCAGTACTTGTTTCCTTTGTTTCCACTTGGTTCAAAACAAATGTGATGAGGACATGGGAACATCTCATTGGCTTCATCGTCCAGCAACTGGGGCTGCACAAATGGGAGGGACTCGTGGGAAGTCAGTGGGCAAGGGATTTCAGTGAAAGAAAAAAGGATCATTTGGGCGGTACCTGTTTTCTGTGGGGGAAGAGATGGGGCAGGGGCCTTATGCAGATTGCCTCTTCCTCCTGGGGAGGTGCGGAGAGTGAACTCCATTGTCCCAAACCTGACCTGATGCCTGACCCACTGCAGTTGTTGCGAGGGAACACCGAGCTGGCTTTGTGTGTGGTCAGCAGTAGTGAGGTGGTGGTTGAAGCTCCTCAGTGTGTGCTCTGGTCCATAAGGTGCAGGGAGGGCAGTGCAGTCGTGAGAGGCCGTGGAGACAGGCTGTGGGGATGTTTAGAGACCTGCATGTGTACACCTCACAGGAGTCTTCCATCTGCAACTGGGAGCTGCAAGACCTCTGCACAGGTGGTGAGAGGCAGTCCAAGCACTAGGAAGCTCTGCTCGGCTGCTGTCGGAGATAATAACCTGCTTGGCCTAGTTCCAGCCTCTGAAACCGACAGCAAGAGTTGGCTCTGTCCTCCTGTCTCCTGCCTCTCCGAGCCAATCAAAATACCCACAGAGCCCAGTTAAGAATTAACTTCTATTTATTTTGTTATCCATTAAACACAGGTTGTGAGCTAGGAAGAAAAGATATATTTAAAGCTGGCTAATTTTTTAAAAATCGACCTTCTTTGAGGCTTATGGAATGTTACTAGTTATGGGAAAATACCTATGTAGACCACTGAAGGGCCAAGACTGTGTAAAACTGGAAAGTTAAAAAATTCTACAGTAACCCTTTCTTTGCTTCCCCAAAGCTGGAAGTCGTGAGGAGGCAGAGTTTTCTGAAGCAGCTGACATCTCGGGGACTGATTCTGAGAGGCAGGTCTTCGCCTCTGGGCCCTGAGCTTTGGTGGAGGGAGAAGTCATTGGTGTCTCTCTCTCCCTCTCCCTTCCTTTCTCTGAAATCAATAAAAACATATTTTAAAAAAAACACCTAAATTTACCAATCAGAAGACATTAGATGACTGAATGGAATTTTAAAAAGAATCAACTACATCTGAAATATTTTAAACGAAGGTAAACGTGTGAGATGATGGATGTGTTGACTCAGTGGGAGTCCTTACGAGTGTAGGTGTGGGTCAGATTATCATGTCGTCTCCTTTACATAGTTTATATTTTATGTGTCAGTTAAATGTTAATGAAGATGAAAGAAAAGTCAGGAATTCCAATCATGGAGGTGGGTGTTAAACTGAAGACCAGGACCAGTGCTTACTTTACAAACAGAAAATAAGAAGAAGAAAAAAATCAAGACATTAATTTAGCATTTGAAAAACATTATTTAGGGACAACTAAACCATGTCAACAGAAGTTGCTTTTGCTCCTGCTGGAAATGAACAAACATGACCTTATGAAGAGAAAAGTTAATAGATATATTTTTAATGCATAGTGGCTGAACTTTTTTGTAATAGTTTTTCTACTATAAATGTTTACACACAATTTTTACAGCTATAAAGATAAATTTTAAGGATTCACATTCTAGTTAATACCTACAACTCTAACTATTACTACCACTTGCCTGTGTAAGCTGATTTCTTTTTTCTATTCACTCAAGATTCTCAAACTAAAAGAAAGTTACCATATACATTACCAAATCATTTATGATGTTTGAAAATAAACACAAAAAACTGCAACCATAGAAATTGAGGATCTTAACTATTAAATAGTATATGAAGATAAAATTAGTATAAAGCATTAAAGATATATAAGTTAACCATTTATAGGTGGAAAAATAAATCCTTCTACATAAAGGATACATGTTTATCCTTTCCAATTTGGATGTCTTCTGTTTCTTATTCTTGCCAAATTTTTAAACTTACGCTCAACATTGCTTAACTGGATAGTTTATTTCTGTCAGTGAGGAAACAATTATTTTTTGTAATTCTCCAAGAAGAGGATAGTATAAAGCTTAATTCATTGTAACATAGTTGGCTGGGAAAATGCCAATCTGACCCCGAAGCCTGCCTTCCCACCAATCAAAATGCGAATCCGTGTTTGATGTCACTGTGATTCTGTCTCCAGCTTTAAAACTCAGATCCCCCGGCTGTTGTCCTTCAAAAGAATAAAGTGCTGTCACTTCTGTGGGTCGACTGGAATTGCCTAAAACAAGAAAAAATACTTAAATGAGTCACATTTTTATAGGAAAAACTGGGAGTATATGTAGGTGAGATAGAAATGAATGGCTTAGGGTATTCTGAGGCCTGAAGGCCTGGGTGATTGTCATCATTAGTATGCTCACTAGAGGCTCGGTACATGGACCCTGGTTTCAGCCCAATCCTTGCAGGGCAGGCCGAGGGACCCCACTAATGCATGAACCCATGTGCCAGGCCTCTAGTATGCATATAAGACCTTTGGTTAATCTCTTCCTGCCTCCCCCCTTCCTTCTGAGATTCGTCAGTCTGTTCCATGTTTCCATGCCTGTGCATTGAGCATCTTGCCCCCTGTGGTCAGTGCACATCATAGCTACCAGTTGAATGGTTGAACGGTCACTTAGGCTTTTATATATATAGATGGGAGGCCTGGTGCCTGGGATTCGTGCACTGGTGGTGGGTGTGGCCTGCAGGGATCGGCCCACTGTGGGAGCATCGCTCATCCCAGTCAGCTGAGCGGCGCTCCCACTGTGGAAGCACACTGACCACCAGGAGGAAGCTCCTGCATTGAGCATCTGCTCCCTGGTGGTCAGTGCACATCATAGCAACTGGTCAACTGGTCATTCTGGTAGTTCCGCCATATGGTTGCTGAGCTTTTATTATATAGGATGACTTTCCTTTTTGCAAAGAGCCAATATTTGGTAATAACACTAAGTTCACACGAGTCAAACTGCACATTATTTTATAATAACTCCTCCTTCTGGTTCCAAGACACCTGGGATGACAGAAGGAGACAGGGATGCGAGTACCTGTGACCATCAGGCCATCCTAGCTGCCCACACACACACACACACACACACACACACTGTGGTCACAGAAGTCAAAGTGCGCAGGAAAGAGGCATGCAAAGATAGCAGCAGCCATCACTGTTCCTGAGTTGGGCAAGGACAGGCACAGACATGCACCCACTTAGCCTACACCTCAACTGGGACAGCTCCACTGGGGAGACCTGTCCAAGGCAGTGGTTGAACCCGAAGTCTGTTCCTGGCTCTCTGAACGACATGAGACCCTAGTCCTCAGCAACCACATTATGTTCCAGACGGAACACACACACATCTGAGCATTTTATGTTTGTTAGGCACATTTCCAAGAACTGGTGCGTTTTTCTGCATCACTGCTTTACCGAGATGACACAAGTAACTGAGCTAGTTCTTACGGGTCCTAGGAGCATAGTTTATGATGAACAATTCAAAGAAGAAAGATATTCTGAACTAGAGAGGAGGAAAGAGAGAGAATGGCAGTCTGGCCCCATGCCTGCCCGCCCTCAGGTTTTGTCTACTTCCCTCTGAGTCGCAGTTTCCAGGTGAAGCCAGGATGAAGCAATGATGGGAAGGTGGGTAAGGCAGGGCAGGTGTTTGAGCTGCCTTAGAGAGCAAGGTAGTTCTGCTGGGCTGAGGAGGTTGATGTTTGCGACCGTGTGTCTGAGCCGAGATGGCGGGGCAGGGGGTCACAGACAGGAAGATACAGGCCTGCCAGAAGCCACCCAACCCCCCAGTCAGAGGCTGGGAAAACCGGAGGCTATACCGGAGTGAGTCTGTGCCCAGGCCACTCGATGCCATGGCCTACTGTGAGCTTTTTTTTTCAATAAGCTCGAAACGCCCTAAAGTTCCTCTTTCCTGTAAACAGTAGGGAAATTTCCACTAGAAAAAGTTTAATGCCCACAAAATAATTCCTTTAAAAAATAGGTGAGTCCTTCCGGGAACGGAGACCATGGGACCCTGGGCCACGAACTGTGGGTGTTCATCGGCGCCTTCCCTTCTGAGGAACGTGGGCCTGATGAGTCACATTCCTGTGCTTAGCAGAGATCTACAGGATCTGAAGCAATGGGCCATTTTCATCCTAAGATTCGAGTTTAATTCAAATAGGGGTCATTTTTCTCTCCCAAATCAGGACTACACTGAACAGGAAAAAGGTTATATCAGCGTTAGTGATTGGCAGCTGCCCTGAGGCTACCAATTAGCAAGGCCGGTCCCCTCCCCCTTTCAGTGTCTAATGTAACCCAGATGCGAACACACATCCGCCCAGACAAGAGACAGGAGAATCTCAGCCCTTGGACAGTTCAACTTGGACAGTTCAGTCTGTGCACATTTGCCGCAGTGACAAGTCTGCTGGTGACCTGGTCCCTGCATGAGACAAGCCTGTGGCCCGAGTCAGCAGTGGCTAGTCCGTGCCTAGGTGTTCTCAGCAGGTAACTGGCCTTCATGTCACTCTCACTACCTCCAATTCAAGCAAGTAAGAGAACAAAAGCATCACATTTTTAAAAATATGAAGTATTTCTGCAATCATGTGAATTCCTGTGCATCTAATAAGGGTGTCAAATACTGTCCCTCAGATTTTATACAACCGCCAGAGAAATTAGAGAGCTTGTGGCTACCGATGGAGATGAATCACTTTATGTGGATATTTTTATTTACCAAGTCTCTCTGGATAGCTGGGTAGTTCAGGGTAGAGCTTATATTCGTTTCTGTTATCTGCAAAAATATAAAATAAAAGATGGGGGGGCATTTAGAAAACTAGTTTATAGTATATAAAGTACACAAGAAGCCAAACCTTGCCCTTCTAAGCAAATATTGTAAATCACAATAATTGATAGAAATGCCATTATTTTATCATGCTTTAAATTAAGGAATGCCTGAATAAATCCAGAACATACACCAGGTTTAAGGCAGATGGCACACATCTGATACCCTAGTACATGAGTCACAATGCAGGCCTCGTTGTGACACACTCGTGGCAAATACAGACACGTCTTTTTACAGACATGACCCTAAAACGCCGGAATTTAAAAACTCATGACTCCCAAGCCAGAGATTTTGGAACATCCTTGCTTGCATAACCTGGAAACAGTTTTTAAACTGCATGAACGTGGACACCCAGGCTCTTCCCCAAACATCATAAGCTTCCTTCCAGGGGCCTCAGACACACTTCCATGGGGGCATCTCCTAGCCCCGTGGCTGGCAAACTCATTATCAACAGAGCCAAATGTATAAAGATTGACATTTCTTTTAAGAGCCAAAAACCGACTTCTGCTCATGGGCCACGAAGTTTTAATCGCACTGTACGTGCATGCCCACTTGTGGTATTTTGTGGAAGAGCCACAGTCAAGGGGCCAAAGAGCCGCATGTGGCTTGAGAGCCACAGTTTTCTGACCACTGTCCTAGCTTGAAAGTGCTGGCAGGATGCAAGTGAGCCTCGTCTTTGTTCTCCGAAGCCCAGCACGGCCTCCCTGACAATAGAGATTACGTGCTTTAATGCCAAGGTCAGCAAACTGGCTCGCGAGCCACATGCAGCTCTTTGGCCCCTTGAGTGTGGCTCTTCCACAAAATACCATGGCCTGGGTGAGCCTATTTTGAAGAAGTGACTTTAGAAGAAGTTTAAGTTTTAAAAATTTGGCTCTCAAAAGAAATGTCAGTTATCATACTGTTGATATTTGGCTCTGTGGACTAATGAGTTTGCCGACCACTGCTTTAATGCATTGTCGTTCATTGGTGGCCTCTCCTTGTGAAAAGCAGAATTCTAAGAGTGACCGTCAGAGAAATCGATGGGAAAGGGGCAAAGGTCAGGACATGCTGCATTATCCAGTCTATTTTAAAACGGCCTTACAAAACCCTGAGGTCCCAAGATGGAGGATAAAGTTGATATTCAGAATAAGAACTTGTGAATATATAACAAAACAAGCTTTATTTTGTTCCTATTTTAAATCAGCTTCTTCTGAATGAGAATAGAAACTCTAACAAAGTATAGCCATGAGAATATGACTTGGGCATTTAGAAGAGGCTTGAGCATTGGCTTTGCTCCCTTTAATACCCAATAATTCTTTTATTCAACTGTAAAGTTCAACAATGTGGCTCCATTTCCTAATAATATTTAATAACTGCTTAATTCTCACTGTATTTGAATGGCAAAAAAATACTTACTCTGCGAGCCAGAGCTCAGCTGGCTTTGTGGAGATGAAGGCTGTGGTCTTGACAGGGGTTTTGGAGGTAATTCTTGAGCCTTGGGAGAAATAAAAAAGATGCATGTAATAAAAGCCCAATTTTATCTAGGAGCACACAGGTCTTTTTTCCTCATGAACACACATGGCAAAGTCTATCCCGTGCGCTGACAAATTAAGCCCCTCGTGCTCACAGGGGCTGCTCTGGGGCAAGCTTAGCTGAACTGGACCTCAACACACACGGGGTGCCCCTGGAACAGGAAGTATCCCTGGCCCCGGTGCCTCCGACAACCTGCAGGCACAGTCAGCGGTGGCTGGGAGAGGCAGTGGCAGCTCTAACTATGCGTCAGTTTTCATTCTTTAAGGTGGATTAAGTGACTGGAAGCGGTTATGGAATTGGGTAACGAAGGCCCACAGACTCTGTCCCCCCACACCTCAGTGTTGGTACCGAAATGACCAAGCCCTACCCTTGGAGGAGCGCGATCGTGGGAAAGGACTGTGTTTCCCTTGGAAGCCTGTGCAGGGGGCATGTGATGGCTGTAGGCCATTCTCACCCCACTTTAGGTGAATGAGGTCACCAGGGAGCTCAAGGTTATTAGGAATCTGATTCAAGGACAGAGGACTCTGTGTGGAGAGGTGTCCTGTGGCTACAGAGAAAGAAAACCAACAGCACCGAAGCCTTCCTGCGCTCCCGGGCGGCTCTCCTCGCGTTGATCCGCTGTCCTTCGCTCTCATACTTCTCCGTGAACGCATCAAGAACTTCATAGAGATCCTCTGCCTGAGCAGGCCGAGGCATGTCTCCGAATAAAATGTCGTATGCTCGAACATCTTGACAATAAAACCTAGAAAGAAATGTCAAATCAAGAACATTTCTTTAATAAGCACGGATCCTTTCCAGAGGAAGGCCTGTGTGTGTGTGTGTGTGTGTGTGTGTGTGTGTGTGTGTGTGTGTTGTGTGAGGAAGGCCTGTGTGTGTGTGTGTGTGTGTGTTGTGTGTGTGTATAATTCTTTTCAAACTAGCTAAAGCCACACTCACGTTAACCGGAATGCACCCCATGCTTACCTCTGGAGCACCATCAATCCTCTGATAAGCACAAAATACAAAACGCACATCACATATACACATAGACACTTGTCTATACAAACATACGTGACCGTGTACTTCTGCAAACACACCTCCAAACAGACATTTTACAGGTTTTATTTTAGCGTTGCTCAGTTGCCCCAGCCTCAGGCTTTTTTCAACAGAGATGCCTTAGCAACGTCTTTAAATAGATGTTTGCTTCACATCAGACGAGGATTTGCCTCATGTTGGAAGGCCTGCAGTGACTACATGTGTTTTAGTTTGCCCAGAATGTAGGTGAGCTTGAGTGGGAAAGTCTTCCAAAGGCCTCAAGTCACAAGTCCCTAAAAGCTTTCCTAACCTGTATTTCTCAAAATTATAAAACCGGAGGTGAAACACCTCCACTCCGTAACCCTGCACTTCCCCCCATCCTCCCTGCTGGTGTAGGAGGCAACAAAACAAAAGGTGAATAATCTTTAAAGGGGTAAAATGTTTTCCCCCTTTTAACTTTTTGTATTTTCTTAGATTTCTATCCTATATAATAAAAGCATACTGTGCTAATCGACCAATCGGTGGAATGACAGGTCACTATAACATGCACTGACCACCTGGGGGCAGACGCTCAATGCAGGAGATGCCCCCTGGTGGTCAGTGCGCTCCCACAGGGGGAGCGCCACTCAGCCAGAAGTCGGGCTCACAGCTGGCGAGTGTAGCAGCAGTGATGGAAGCTTCTCCGGCCTCTGCTGCAGGTGGGTGGTAAGGAGTGAGGGATCCCGGATTGCGAGAGTCCCAGACTGTGAGAGGGATGTCCCGGACTGTGAGAGGGCGAAGGCCAGGCTGAGGGCCCTCCTCCAGTGCACAAATATCGTGCACCGGGCCTCTAGTAGGTACATATTATCTCACATTGAATTTTTAAATGAAGAAACACCCACTCAGAGTCATAAGTTGTTGATTTAAGAAAGGAATAGACAAAGGAATTAGTGCTGTATACATTTACCCAACATTCTTTACATCAATGACAATTACTAGCCTTGAACTTACTTCCGATTGGTCTCTTTCCTTTCTATCAAGCAGCTGCCTTCCAAGCTGACACCAGCAAAGAGCCCCCGGGACTTGCAGTACGTGAAGACGGCGGCCGAGCTCCGCAGGGCGACGTTTCCCTCCAAATTCCTGCAAAACAGAGGGGGACTCACACCTGAGAGCGGCTCTGCCCCACAGGCAGTGCTAGAGCAGCATGACCTCTGACCCCAAGTCTGGCCTGTCTTCCTCAGGCCTTTACACGCTCGCTTCTGGTGGGCCTGGCCTGTGTGGGCTCGAGTGGTGCAAGGAAGGGGGGTCGTGGGGCAGGACAGGGCCCCGGACTCGGCCAAGGGGCTCAGTGCCAAAGACACAGGGCAGCTTTCATCGTCCCGTCTTCCTTTCCCCGACAGGAAGTACTCTCCGGTGCCAAGAACTGGGTTCTGTTCACACGGAGGGTTTTCATGAAACTTAGACATCATTTCTGATGATTTTACCGTGTAACTTCTTTAAAAGTCTGGGTTTAAAAGGTCTCTAAATTGCTCAGTGAGCACAGCAGCCCTTCACTAACAGAGGAGGAAAATCCACCGTGTTTTAAACAACACTCAAGCAAGACGCTTCCTCTCCAGTTTTTCGTAATTCAGTTTGGAAAGAGAGCCTTTTCGTTTCCAATCCCCAAGGCCCTTTACCAAAGTTTAACTTGCTTTGGCTCCTCCAACGTTTAATGTGAAATTTGTGTTCAATCCAGAAAATACAAGGGCAGGGATTTCAAAAATGTTTAGTGTCTTGTGTATGCAAATTTTCTCATTTTATCACACTGGCCATGTTCCATAAATTCCTTATCTGTAAGCAACCCCTAACCTTCTGTGAGATACAGAAAGTTTAACTTTGCTTCAAGTTAATTCAGTTTTCTCTTAACACACGTCAATATATAGTTTTTTAACACTTTTCTACCCCACAGCTGTTCCAATGTATTTTACAGAACTCACCTTCCCAAAGGTCCGACTGCCACAGTTAAATTACCTCCGAGGGTTAGGTTACCGCCTTTTGCAAAAGCTTCTACCGCTCGGTCATAATTCAAAATTATAACCAAATCCGACACCTAAAATGTAGAAACCCATTTATTTTTAAAAGAATTATGTTTAACTATTATTTAAAATATGGGCTGAAAGAGAAAGACACACACACACAGAGAAACATTGATTTGTTGTTCCACCCATCTACACATTCATTGGTTGATTCTTTTTTTAATATATTTTTATTAATTTCAGAGAGGAAGGGAGAGAGAGAGAGAGAGAGATCAATGATGAGAGAGAATCATGGATTGGCTGCCTCCTGCAGGCCCCACACTGGGGATTAAGCAGCAACCCGGGCCTGTGCCCTTGACCGGAATCAAACCCAGGACCTTTCAGTCCACAGGCTGCCGCTCTATCCACTGAGCCACACCAGCTAGGACCATTGCTTGATTCTTATATGTGCCATGACCAAGCATAGAACCCACAACCTTGGCGTATTGGGGTGTCACTCTAACCAACTGAGCTCTCCGGCCAGGGCCTCTCATTGTTTTCTAAATAAATGCTATTTGAGAGAGACCCCAAAGCAGGCCCCAGTGTTGCGTGGAGGCCGAGAGTGTGGAAAGAGTGGCTGTAACCCGGCTCAAGGAGTCACTGACACATTCCCCGCATGGCCAGCCTGAGACATATCTGTTCTTCAGACGCGCCAAAGATGGAAATGCGGCAAATGAAAAAAATTCTACTGTCAATGACAGAAAAAGACTATGGCCATGTGAGATAGGTGTGGGGAGAGGTTCATCCAGAGGATAAAAGGGGACTATTTCCACAAGTTACATATACAGGTGGAAATCTCACTTCCACGTTAGGGTTCAGTTGCTTTTGGAGGATTCACAATCTTGTGCGTACCATGGGCCCCTTACCTCGATTCCGATTTCAAATCCTCCACCGAGCCCCGCGATTCCGATGGCGGAAGGTGCAGACCACTCTAACAAAAACAAGCACACGTCACTCCAGAGTCAGACCCATCATGCAAGTATCAGGAGAAATGCTAACATGAGAATGAATACTGTTTCTTTTTAAAAGAAGAATCTGACATTTTCCTCTATGTTTTTAAATGTTTTATATATATAATTTTAATTTAAAAATATTAGCTATTCATTGAGTCTCAGACTCACAAATATATGTTGTCTAATCTTTCTCAATAAACATACCTAATACCAAACAATTTAATTTCTCATCAACTAAACTTACTTAGAATTTGACAACTTCAACAATCAACATTTCATGTTTTACAAAATAATTGAGCAGTAATTCTAGTCATTAGTGAGAATTTTATCATAGATCTGAGAGCAAAAAGATTGAGAGTTTACCAGTATTATAACCACCCCTGAGGGTAACACAATACCACACAGTTTCTATTTTACATTTCCAAGGGCAAAAACTGTTTGACACTCTTTCTGCCTAGGAAAAGCACAAGGAATAGGCTATGCATTCCAGATGATTAAAATTCTAGTAAAATATATTTCTTTACATTTGGACACTAAGCACAGTAATTGCATTTGCTTGAGTATTTTATGCTTATTTTGTCTGATATAGGAACAGGTTAAACAAGTCTGAAAAAAACATTACTTTGGTTGTGGGAGGGTGGAATGGTCCAGATACAGTCATTTCTTGTTAGATTCTAAACCAGACTTTCCTCTCTGCATGCATTCCAGATGATAACTATCGAGTCTACCAAGAACTAATCTGTCTGGACTTAGAGTTGTTTTGATGACAGAAATTAGTGTCTTCAATACCAACATTATTTTCCATTTCCTATGCTAGGAACTGCCTCTGTCCCCATCCGGCAGGGTTCGGGAATTCTCTGTGCCTCATTGGGGCAGCTTTTAAATTATCCTGAGCAGCCACTACTGGGCAAGATGGGAGAGAAATGCAAGGGCTCAGAGTGAAACGCTGGAGGCCGACAGCACATCCACCTTCCGCACAGTCACCTGCCAGCGACCAAAGGGACCTACAGTGCTGAGGCCTTCTTAGATACTTGGGGCTCACCCAGCGTACACTCTTTCGGAACGTGCCCCCACTTCGGTTGTGCTACTTACTGGGAAATCTGGCCATAAAAATTGGGGTGATGCTTGAGAGAAGAGAATGCTGTCGCTTTTTAGGCATGTTTATTGATAAAGATTAGACAACATTTATTTGTGAGTCTGTTTTGAGCTCTGAGAGCCGAGCCACAGCTCGGAGGACTCTCATTTTGGGGGGATGCCTCACAGGAAGCAGGGGTCCAGTGACTAAGGTTCAAAGACTATATGCTCCACAGATGCCTAGATGTACCTATTGTCGGTGAATGTCCCACTAATTATCCACAGGAAAAAATAACTATTTACACAAAAATGTGCCCACTTATAGGGCTGAACAGCGATGTTCTATTGGTCTAAGAAGCATTTAGTTGGTCCTGGCAGGCCTGCACACACCCTAAGTCTTACTATCCACACTGGTTCTTGGGGTTCAAGGCAAACACGCTTGGATTTCACCTCTGAGAAATCAAGTATTAGGTTTCATTGCAGAGAGTGAAACCAAATTATATTGATGTTGATAGCATGATGGGGATATTCGTTCAAATGACTTCCCACAGGAGCCACAGATGGCTCTCATTTTCTTTCAAAGTTCCACAAAACAAAACCATTGTGGCATGAAACTGAGGAA